CTCACACTGGGACGTTAACATTCACCCTCGGTGCCTTACCTAGGATTATACGCCCAGGCCTTCCCCAAATGGGGCAGCCAGAGCCACCATTCCAACCCTGCGGCAATCAGCGGGTCGGGCCCTCCAGCTGCTGATGTGTGTGGGGCAGACCCGAGAGAGCGCGACAGAACCACCCGCTGGTCGAGCAACTCTCGCTGCTCTGCCCCGGGCCCAGTAGGTCTCCGAGTTTAAGTCCCTGCTGCTGTCGCTTTGCCTGTTCCACGGGAACGCGCTGGAGCGGAGGAAGTTCGGGCCGCTGGGGTTCAATATCCCCTATGAGTTCACGGATGGAGACCTCCGCATCTGCATCAGCCAGCTGAAGATGTTCCTGGACGAATATGCGGACATCCCGTACAAGGTCGGTGTGGAGGGCTCGTCTGCTGGGTGTCCCGTGGGTAAGGCGTGGGACCGCTGCCTGGCCCCACCCTTGCTCTGCCCACGGGATGCCTGCTGTTGGCGTATTGGGGGCAGAGCGTTGCTGCGCCCAGCACCCACCTTCCTGGTGCTGGAGGGGCTGGGTTGGGTCGGGTCGGGTGGCACACCGTCCTCTCCCCTGGTGCTCTGGGCCTGGAGAGGCCAGGCTGGGCTGGGCAGCACCCCTCCTTGGGCTGGGGAGAGCGTGTGCCTGCCTGCTCTCCTCCCTGTGGTTGGAAGGGGGGAGCACGTGTGAGGCACACTGCCCCACCTTCCCGTGGGAGGGCGGGAAAGGGGTGGGGCCTCCGCAGAAGGGGCAGGTCTGGAGGTGGGGCGGGGATTTGCCTCCCCCAGCCCTGCCTTCACCAAGGAGGCAGTGGGTGTGAGGAATGCCCACGGGAGTGTGGTAACGAGCTGGAGGGGCCCAGAGGCAGCCTGCCCTACATGCAGAGGGGCCACGCGTCAGTTTCAGTCCCTGGGACGGCTGTGGAAAGTGGCCTGTGGAACCCGACTGATCAGGTCACCTGGTCAGTGTTAGGTTAAGCTACCGTCTGACCGACCAGGTGGGATCCCGGGTGGGAAGCTCCCAGCCCACTGTGCTTCCAGCCCTGCACTGGGGCTGGGGTGGCTGCCGGCCCTGGGCCCCGCGCTGGGTCTGGTGGGGCTGGAGCAGCCCTCCACCCGTGGAAAGCCTGGGGCCCGGTAAGCATCACCCTTTCACGTTACCCATTCCCATGCTGAGCGGAGGTGTTCGCCGGCTCCCACCAATCCAGGT